CCGACTCTGCGACCCCATAGACGGCAGCCCACCAGGCTCCCCCATCCCTGGGATTCTCCAGGCAAGAACAACGCAGTGGGTTGCCATTTCCTTCTCCGTCGGAGTGTACGTGGGGGTTATATCTCTGCCTTGTTGCTTCTTCCTGTGTGAGCTCATTAAACTAATTAGCATTCGCAAAGTGATTAGCCTTAAATTAGTGTCAGAGTCCAATTACCCCAATCCCGGGGGGGCACAGGTGATTTGCGGCGCTGAACCAAAGCACAGCCCAATACATGTCTGCCTGGCAGTGACTGATCATGGGAGAAAACTCGCTGAAACAGTCCTGCACGTCTTATCCCTTGATCCTGAGGACGACATTCATCTCCGCGGCGCGGCTTCCAGGAATGTTTATCGTACAGAATGAAGCATTGAGAGAGATTGAACGGCCTCTAGCCCGTGGCGTTGCAATCAGATAGCAAAAATATGTCTGGTGACAGATGAGTTGGATGTTGCTTTTGCTNCTGAAACAGTCCTGCACGTCTTATCCCTTGATCCTGAGGACGACATTCATCTCCTCGGCGCGGCTTCCAGGAATGTTTATCGTGCAGAATGAAGCATTGAGAGAGATTGAACGGCCTCTAGCCCGTGGCGTTGCAATCAGATAGCAAAAATATGTCTGGTGACAGATGAGTTGGATGTTGCTTTTGCTTTGGAAATCATGTCTGCCACCTCCGCGGAGGGTGGATTCTGTAGCTTTTCACCTTCTTTTTTTGGATGAAATCAATGAGGGTGCAGCCCCAGGGTGGAGGGCCTGACTCCACGGCGGGGTGTGATCTGTCTGCTGGATAGGCTTACCCATATTCAGTTATTGTCTTTTTTTAGTATTTATTTATTTGTCCAATTACTTATATTCAGTTATTGTCTTTTTTAAAAATATTTTTAAAAATTTATTTATTTGGCTGATTACTCATATTCAGTTATTGTCTTTTTTTTTTTCTTGGATCAGGGATCAAACCCAAGTTTGATCCCAGGCCAGGGATCCAAGGCATTGACCAGCAGATTCTTTCCCAACAAGCCACCAGGAAAGGCTCCCAAAGGGGCCATCTTCCTTCAGAGTGTATGCCGCTGCTGCTGCTAAGTCACGTCAGTCGTGTCCGACTCTGCGACCCCATAGACGGAAGCCCACCAGGCTCCCCCATCCCTGGGATTCTCCAGGCAAGAATATCGCAGTGGGTTGCCATTTCCTTTTTGGCCAATTACTCATATTCAGTTATTGTCTTTTTTAAACATATTTTAAAAAATTTATTTATTTGGCCGATTACCCATATTCAGTTATTGTCTTTTTTTAATATTTATTTATTTGGCCAATTACTTATATTTGGTTATTGTCTTTTTTAAAAAATATTTAAAAATTTATTTGGCCAATTACACATATTCAGTTATTGTCTTTTTTTAAAATTTATTTATTTGGCTGATTACCCATATTTGGTTATTGTCTTTTTTTAATATTTATTTATTTGGCCGATTACCCATATTTGGTTACTGTCTTTTTAAAATATTTATTTATTTGGCTGATTACCCACATTTGGTCACTGTCTGCTTTTTTTTTTTTTTAATATCTATTTACTTGGCTGAGTAGGATCTTAGTTGCCGCACGCGAGGTCACATGGGTTGGCTGATGTTCACTGTGGCCTGTGGGGGTCTCCCATTCTGACCTCTGAACTCTCAGTTGCGGCCAGTGGGCTCCAGTTCCCTCATCGGGGATGGAACCCAGGCCCCCTGCATCGGGAGTGTGGAGTGTTGGCCACTGGGTGGTGGTGATTTAGTCACTCAGGTGTGTCTGATTTTTTTGCGACCCCATGGACTGCAGCCCACCAGGCCCCACTGTCCATGGGGATTCTCCAGGCAAGAATCCTGCAGTGGGTTGCCATTTCCTTCCTCCAGGAGACCTTCCCGACCCCGGGATCAAACCTGCGTCTCCTGCCTTGCAGGCGGATTCTTCACCACTGAGTCACTTAGCCCCTGGACCACCAGGGAAGCCTCCTCAGCTGTTACTTCTGCTGCCAAGGATGCCTGGTGTCCTTGTAGAGTTCCCATTTGTGATAATCCTACACCGACGAACTGGACCTCACCCCAAAGTGTGGGTACCCCGTCGAGATGAGTGACCCTTGGGCCACACCACGATGATATGGACAGGGTTGTAACTCCCACGTGATGAGACTTTCTGGACAGAGCAGGGTAGCTGCTAGGCCGGTGTGAAGATGGCTTGCGGAAGATGGGGAACAGGAGATGAGTAAGTCGTCGTGGGGGACAGAAGCTGGCTCCTGGATGTGGGTTCCTGCATGTAGGTAGGAGCTGGTACGGTTTGAACCCCCCCGGGGGCACTGAGGGAAGGAGCCCGTAGGCCTTCCTGTAAGCTTGTTGGGTGCAAATGGAAGAGGCAGAGATGAGGTCTAAATAATCTTTGTGCTTGCTGTTTACTTCCTAAGTCGTTTCTGTCTCTTTGCGACCCCATGGACTGCAGTCCTCCAGGCTCCTCTGTCCGTGGGATTCTCCCAGGCCAGAACACTGGAGTGGGTTGCCATTTCCTTCTCCAGGGGATCTTCCTGACCTAAGGATCGAACCCGTGTCTCCTCCATCGGCAGGCAGATTCTTTATGGCTTAGCCACCTGAGAAGGATTTAAAGCTCTTAGCAGACCTCAGAAAACCAACTCAGACCCTTTAATACCTCACAGTATAGCTACCTGGATGCACTGACCAAATGAAGCTAGCCTCATGGGACTGTAAGGGATCTCGGTGGAAATTATAAGCTAGATACCTCTAGTCTGACCATTGTTTTCTTCTGATTGGACAGCAGATGAGTGAGTTGAGTGAAAGTTGCTCAGTTGTGTTCGACTTTCTGTGACCCCCATGGACTATACAATGCATGGAATTCTCCAGGCCAGAATCCTGGAGTGGGTAGCCTTTCCCTTCTCCAGGGGCTCATCCCAACCCAGGGATCAAATCCAGGTCCCCCACATTACAGGCGGATTCTTTACCAACTGACTTATGAGGGAAACTCAGACAAGAGCTTCCTAATCAGAGAGGCTATATTTCAGCCCATTCATCCATCTTCAGCTCGTTTCAATTTTTTTTTTTCTTATGAAAAATTTGAGGTATAAAGAGAGAAAAGTGCAGTCCAGTGCCACATGTCCTGGGTCCACCTCTACCAGGTAATGAAGTCATATCTGATGTAGTTTCATCCCGGCTCTGTGTTCACTTCCCATCTTCCTGGATGAATGTGATGACCAGAGAAGCTGTCATACCATGCCACCCACAAGTCTGTTCATCTGCTAAGCTGTGCTGGCCTTGAGAGTCTGGGTTTTGGAATCAGACTTCACTCTTTCCTTTGTGTCCGCCACTTCCAGGGTTTCCCTGATGGCTCAGACAGGAGAGGATCTGCCTGCAGTGCAGGAGACTCGGGTTTGATCCCCAGGTGGGGCAGATCCCCTGGAGAAGGGAAGGGCAACCCACTCCACTACTCTTGCCTGGAAGATCCCATGGACAGAGGAGCCTGGTGGGCTACAGTCCATAGGGTCGCAAAGAGTTGGACACGACTGAATGACAATCACTGTCTATCACTTTCTGCCCCTTCCTAACTGTGGGAAGTGTCTTGTTGGAGCACTATTACCCTCAGCTGTGACATGGACCCGCTGCTCTTCACTCGTAGGGTTCAGTATGGTGTCAACAGCAGAACGTGGAACCAAGTCCTTTGCAGACAAAGAGTGTTCATCAGACAGTGCCCATCATTCTCACTGTTGACGTTGGCATCATTATTATTTTGAAGGATTGCCTTGTGCATGTTGCACTTCCCAGGTGGTTCACTGGTAAAGAATCTGCCTGCAATGCAGGAGACATGGGTTCAATCCCTGGATGGGGAAGATCCCCTGGAGGAGGGCATGGCAATCCACTCCAGTATCCTTGCCTGGAGAATCCCATGGACAGAGGAGCCTGGCGGGGTACAGTCCATGGGGTCGCAAAGAATTGGACACCGCTTAGCGACTAAATAGCAACAACAGTATGTTAGGGTTAGTCTAGAACATGAAGTTTGGGGAAACAAGATGAGGACAGGAAAAAGGAAAGTGTGAGGAAAATAGATTTCTCCTGATGGGCAGTTTTAGACCTGGGTGTCTATGGTATGTACTAGAAAGGTCCTTCATCTAAAAGTATCTGTAGAGATGTTTCTCATATAAGAGGACCACTGATGGTTTAGTTTTTTCTCAGTTGATGAGGAAAGCTAGTAGACTTCTTTTTCTTTAATTGGAGAATGATTGCTTTACAATGATGAGTTAGTCTGTACTGTACAACGTGTCAGCTGTCTGTATACATACATCCCCTTCCTCTTGAACTCCTCCCCACCCCCTCATCTGACTCCTCCAGGCAAATGGATTAAAAAGTCATGCTGCATGTATATACAGTGGAATATTACTCAGCCATGAAAAAGGAACAAGATTGGGTCATTTGTAGTCATGTGGATGAACCTCGAGTCTCTTATACAGAGTAAAGTAATTTCAAAGGAGAAAAACAAAGATCATATTTTAACACATATTGATTTCATCTAGTAGACTTTTTCATGACCTCAAGACCAAGGCCAGCCAATGATTGCAGTAGTCTTCCCTCTGTCTGCTAGCATCTTCCTCCAAAAGGCTTATGATCCATGAGCCTGGTTCTTCTAGAATCCTTTATCGAGTCTCCCTGGGGGATTGCCCCATGATGCCTAGAGGTTCAAGCGATGCTTACAGATGATACTTAATTCCATGACTCACCTTTCTCCTTTTCTCTGGCGAGTGCCCAGCCACTGTTGGTCCTTCCGCTTATGGCGCATCCCGTGTTAGAATCCGCATGGGCGGGAGCACTCGGCGTTTAAGACTCTCTCCTCCTCAGCATCACCAATTCCCAGACGAGTGCACAAGGGCAAATGGCCTCTGTTTCTTTTGTAAAGATCGCGCTGTTTTAACCTGGAGTGTTTTCCTCCCCTCCAGGGCAGATCTTGGATGTCCTCGACAAGTTGAAACTGACTGATAACACCCTGGTCTACTTCTCCTCGGACCAAGGAGCTCATATAGAAGAGGTGACCATCAAAGATGAAGTCCACGGAGGCAGTAACGGAATCTACAAAGGTAAGAAATGTGTTCGGGTGGGCAGTGCCCATGGTGTCATCTCTGGGCACCCCGGCTCAGCCCTCACTCACCTTCTTCCGGACCTTGGAGGACCTTAGTTGTGTTCTTTTTTTTAATATGCATATTTATTTATGTATTTGGGCTTCCCCAGGTAGCTCAGTGGTAAAGAATCCATCTGCCAAACCGGAGACACGGGAGATGCGGATTCAATTCTTGGGTGGGGAAGATCCCCTGGAGGTGGAAATGGCAACCCACTCCAGTATTCTTGCCTGGAGAAATCCCACGGATAGACGAGCCTGATGGGCTACAGTCCATGGGGTCGCAAAGAGTCAGACACGACTGAGCAACCAACACTTTAACTCTTTCATATGATCTCTTTCTTAGTTGTGGCATGGGGGATCTACATCTCTGACCAGGAATCAAACCTGGGCCCCCTGCTTCAGGAGCACACTTTCTTAGTCCCCCCTGAACCACCAGCAAAGCCCTCCAGGAAATCTTTAGTAAAATGATCCAGCCAGCCCTCCTGTAGTCACTCTTATTTTCAAGTGGGGAGAAGTTGGAAGCTTATATTCCTATGTTAGATGATGAATTGCTTTTTTCTTGTTTCCATGAGGTTATGGGCTGTGTGCAAAAAGTTGTTTTTGTTATTTCAATAGATGGTAGCCCCTCTTGAGATGCAGTCACAGACTGAATTTCACGTGCTAGCCCCCCAACCCCCAGCATCCATTCATTCCCCCGAAGAGGGTCCTTTAGGTTCCAAAGCAGCTTAGCGGCTGTGCTGAGCTGTGTACATAAATCACAGTAATAGAACTGGCGAGCAGGTGATGCATTATTCAAGAAACTCACACACACGGTGGGACGGAGCCCCCGTTTGGGGACAGAGGACCCCCAGCCGATGACTCTGAGAAAGCCGGATGGAGCAGAGAAGGAGGAGGGTGTACTGGGATTTCGTGATGCTAGCTGAGTGTTCAGAAACACAAGTGGATAGTGAGGCTGGGTCAGAAAGAGAGGGTCCAAGGTCTGAGAGATGCCTGCGGGCTTGCAGTTTTCATAGTCTGCAAGGCGTGCTCACTGCCGCCCCATTTTCTTTCTCACCTGGACGATTATTGCTTTACAATGCTATGTCGGTATCCGCCACGCATCAGCATGAGCCAGTCACAGGCGTACAGGCGTCCCCTCCCGTTAGACCTCCCTCCCACCCCATCCCACCCATCGAGGTGGACGCAGAGCACTGGCTTGGGCTCCCCGAGTCACAGAGCAAGTTCCTATCTATTTTAAACACCGTAGTGTGTATGTTTCTATGCTGTTCTCACAAATCATCCCACCCTCTCCTTCCCCCACAGTGTCCACAAGCCTGTTGTCTGTTGCTGCTCTGCAAATAGGTTCATCAGTACCATCTTTCTAGATCCCATATACGTGCGTTAATATATTTATCTTTTCCTTTCTGACTTACTTCCCTGGGCCCCACAGGGTGTACCTTCACTCACCTCGTTAGGACCGACGCAGATGCCTTCTTTTCTTATAGTTGAGGACACATTCCACTGTGTATACGTACCACGGTTTCTGTGTCCACTCATCTGTCGGTGGACACCTGGGCCACTCCCGCATCCTAGCTATTGTCAAACGCGCTGCCGCCAGCACTGTTGTCGTTCAGCTGCTGAGTCGTGTCCGACTCTTTGCGACCCCGTGGACCGCAGCACGCCGGGCTTCCCTGTCCTTCACTGTCTCCCAGGGTTTGCTCAAACTCATGTCCATTGAGCTGGTGATGCCGTCCAACCATCTCATCCGCTGTCGCCTTCTTCTCCTGCCCTCAGTTCTTCCCAGCATCAGGGTCTTCTTTTCCAATGAGTCAGCTCTTTGCCTCAGGTGGCCAAAGTCTTGACGCTTCGGCATCAGTTCTTCCGATGAATATTCAGGCTCGATTTCCTTTAGGATGGACTGGTTTGATCTCCTTGCCGTCCAAGGGACTCTCAGGACATTAGGGGTATGTGCGTCTCTTTCAATTATGGTTTTCTCAGGGTATATGTCCAGTAGGGGCCCTGTTGGGTTGTATGGTGGTTCAATTCCTAGTTTTTTAAGGAATCTCCATACTCTTCTCCGTAGTGGCTGTCATCAATTTATAGTTCCACCGACAGCGCAAGAGGGTTCTGCTTCTCCAGCGTTAAACGTATTGGATGTGTTAGAAATGCTTTTCTTGACTCCTAGAAATACCATGGATGTGTGACACTGTATTAATATTGCAGTCGCTACTCTATTGCAAAGCATTATCCCTTTGTCAAGTTTACTTGAAATCAAGTTCACCTGAAACATGGTTACTATATCATGCTCTCAAAAAAAAATAAAATAAGTAAAAGATATGACTTTCTTTTATCTATGGGAAATGGCAAAACAAAAGGTCAAGAACTTGTGTTTGATGACTTCTCAAGGTCAAGACAGCTTGTTTCCTAAAGCTGTGAAGTCACATGCATTCCTGTGATCTGTGCAAACACAGGGGAATCATGCCATTTAAACTCATTGATCAAAAGAGCATCTTTTTCTGAACAATGCTGATTTCACATCTTAATCAGAACTGCTCAGAAAGATCTGTACTGTTTAAGCTCAGCAGTCCCTCTGTATTCCCCAGTCAGATCTGTCTCACTGGTCTACCTTGATAGAATGGCTGTGATCGAATCACTTTACCAGAGTTCAACAGTCAATCCCTTTTAAGATCAGAGGAACACTAGATCCTGCTGTAGTCTGCATTTAAAAAATTAATATTATGAGTTTGAGGGGATAGTGTCACTACTAGTCTTTGCTGTCATTCTCTTTTAAAACTGAAATATCGTTGGATTAGTGGAGGAGGGCATGGCACCCCTCTCCAGTACTCTTGCCTGGGAAATCCCATGGACACAGGAACCTGGCGGGCTACAGTCCACAGGGTCACAAAGAGTCAGCCACGCCAAAGCACCTCAGCTCACACATAGTCGGTTTACAATCTTCTGTTAGCTTCAAGTGTATAGCAACATGATTCAGTTATACACATGTGTATATCTATTTTGTTTCAGATGGTTTTCCCTATAGATTAGTACTGAATATTTAGAGTAGAGTTCCCTGGCCTATATAGTAGGTCCTTGTTGATTATCTATTTTATATATAGGAGTGTGTGCCTGTTAACCCCAAACTCCTGATTTATTCCTCCCCACCTTCCCTCTTTGGTAAACATAAGTTTCGTGCTTTATTTTTTTTTAATATGTCTGTGAGTCCATTTCTGTTTCATAAATAAGTTTGTTTGTGCCATATTTTTAATTCCACATGTAAGTAATATCATATTTTGTTTGTCTCTGTCTGGCTTACTTCAGTTAATATGGTCATCTCTAGGTCGATCCAAGTTGGTGCAAATNAATCAGTCCTGAATATTCAAGGGGAGGACTGATGCTGAAGCTGAAACTCCAATACTTTGGCCACCTGATGCAAAGAACTGATTCACTGAAAAACACCCTAATGGTGAGGTTAAAGGCAGGAGGAGAAGGGGATGACAGAGGATGAGATGATTGGATGGCATCACTGACTCGATGGACATGAGTTTGAGCAAGCTCCGGGAGTTGGTGATAGACAGGGAAGCCTGGTGTGCTGCAGTCCATGGGGTTGCAAAGGGTTGGACACGACTGAGCAACTGAACTGAACTGGGAACTGGATATTCCATTATGTGTGTGTGTGTGTGTGTGTGTGTGTGTGTATTTGAATTATAGCTTTGTCTGGATATATGCCCAGGAGTGGGATTGCTGGATCATATAGCAACTCTAGTTTTAGGTTTTTGAGGACCTCCCTACTGTTCTCCATAGTGGCTGCACCAGTTTATATTCCCACCAACAGTGCAGAAGGGTTCCTTTTTATCCACTCCCTTCCAGCATTTATTGTTTGTAGACTTATTAGTGATGGCTGTTCTGACCAGTGTGAGGTGATACCTCATTGTGATTTTAATTTGCTTCTTTCTAATAATGAGCTATGTTAAGCTTCTTTTCATGTGCCTATTGACCAGCTATATGTCTGCAATTAAATAATACTCAGATTAAAATCATTTTCTTGTAAGGAGAAAAGACAAAGCAAAATATGCATTTCAATCAAGATGAAAAATGTTGGCTATACCTGCCCATAGACATGAACACAAACAGGCAACCATCTAAGAGAAAATACGTAAGAATTGAATTGATAATTTTTTTAAATTTATAAAATAAAAAATTTTAAAGTCACTGACAGCACCAGATGGAGTCACAGGTGATGGAAGCCCAGCCACATTATTCTGGAGCTTCCATGCAGGAGTCCTTGCCTGCAGAGTGCCTGCACCAAGACACTCTTTACCTCTGGGTCCTTGCTATGTGTGGTTTGCAGCAGTTTCCGAGAGAGGGCGTCCTCCACCCAAGAGCTGGGGAGCCTGATGGGGGACTTGGAACTCTCACTCCTCTGGGAGAACCTCTGCAATATAATTATTTTCATTTGCGGGTCACCCACCCTGTGGGTTTGGGGTTTAATTATATTGCAAAAGTCCCCTCCTACCATTTTACTGTGGCTTCTTTTTTTGTGTTTGGATGTAGAGTATTTGTTTTGGTAGGCTCCAGTCTGTTTTGTTTATGGTTGTTCAGTAGTTAGTTGTGATTTTGGTGTTTTTGTGAGGGGATGTGAGCTCAAGTCCTACTCCACCTCTTTTCTCTACCTCCATTTTGAAACTAACATAATGTTGTATGTCAGTTATATCTGGGGAAAAAATTTAAAAATCAACTTTACTTCCTAATTTATGTATTTGGCTGCCTCAGCTGCTGGGCAGGACATTAATTCCTGGCTGACAGGAATGGGTTTCTCTCCTTTGGCATCTGAATACCCCACGTCTGGCACAGTGCCTGACACAAAATACATACTCAACTGATGTGTGCACGGTTGATAGATGATTTAATGAACTAGTTAAATAGTGGCTAATATTTGTAGAATTGTTTTTGGTGAAACAATAGTTTTTCAGGGAACACTGA